AAATTAGTCAGTTTAGAATTAGACCATCGATCAACAGATTGTAAATGCTGGCCCGTAACAATTTCGCTTGGAATTCTTTTCTATTATTAATGATTGATTTGTGAAACTAAATGATCTTCATAGATTTTAACTCCTCCGATCATTCGATAATCAGCAAAAGGACAGCATATACAGTAAAGAGTTTTACAAATACTTTCTTATGATATTTCGAAAAAAACGGTTTCAAAATCTTATTATAAAAAATAGAAAAAGATGACAACAATCACCATAGATTTAATGTATTATGCCGCTATGTGATGATTCTCCCAAGAATCGTTCGATGTATTTCTCTGATATAAAATACGATCGCCTATAAGATAGTCCCGCGCGAAGTAAAATTCCATCATCGTTGGAAAAAGTTTGTATCCAACGCTGAAAAAAATATTTTAATATGCAATATTCATTATCAATTTGCGTTTGTTTATGATGCTCAGACTTACAAATGATCTGGCATTAATAAATCATTCTCTCCTTTACGAGTCGAATCTAATACTTCGTCGTGTCGTTGCTTTAGTTCCTCCCAATTGACATCACGCCCTTGATCGCACACATGAGATCGTATCTTACAATACAATGGCTCTCTGTCATACAAATGCTTATAACTTTCCTTTTCTAATTTCTTCATGATACCTTCTATTTTCACCTACAAACGCAATTGCGTTACTTGCTATAAATGAACATGCGATTTTCATTTCTACAAAGATGAATTAAAATTATAATATGATAGAATTATTAATACACAATATAATATAACTCGTTTAAAAAAAATAATGCTTAATTAATAATATATGATGTAATTATCATCCTCAAAATTATATAATTTCTTAGAAATTATTCATTTTTCTATATTTTTAACAAGTCGATTGCTTTTCATAGCAGCTAGAATTTTTCGATTTTTCCTGTCCCACAAAAACAATGTCAATATCAAATGTATAAAGTCAATTTCCATTTATTTACATAATATCAGCCTACAATATACATATGTATGTATTTTTACATATGCTCCTTTTTCTTATTTAACTTTTATCAAAAAAGTGTCAATAAATATTATATTATATCGAAAAATATTAATAGATTTATATTTAATGATATTACCATTTAAAAAAAAATATTATTCCTTTAAAATCTAAATTTTTAAAATGGATATTAAGTATTTTAACCATTCGACGTCGAAACTGAATCATTTCGTAATTTTACAACAAAGTTTAGTCAATATGAATGTATTTTTTCATAAAATGCAGAAATATATCTAAATAAAAATGCAAACACATATGTATCTTGATAAAGATGCAAAGAAATCTTATCGCAGGTCAAACGTATACGACATTGATTTTCAGCCTACTATTGAACTCTTTGACATCCGACGATTAAAAGAATATTTTAAAAAATTAAATTTCTTTAAAAGATAGACCTAATTTGGGTGTTCTATGTTACACATCGTATATGTAAACATTGTTACGGTTAAATTTTTTTAAAAAATTTTCCATAAATTTCTAATTTAATGTAACCATCAGATTGTATTTGGAAAGTTTCGTGGATATATCTAAAGAAATAAGACCTAAATAAGAATTTGTTTTATCGACTACATGTATATTGCAATAAATACTCTATTTTATATGCATATTTGCATATTCTATGTACTGTGTATTCACTTTTTATATTTGCATAAATGCATAAAAGTCCGTAGTTTACTAATCAATGACACAAAATCTATATCGGATTAACTACCTGTTTTGTAATCTCTTCCTCCTGTTCGTTTATATAGAACCAAAGGAAACACATGGCAGCATAAGGGACATTCTCCTGAAAGTGAATTGGTGAAAAAAAATTCACCCACAAATGAACAATGCAACTGTCAAATGCAAAATTTTCTTTGAGAACTTACTAAATTGTCGATTTTCTTGCTACGATTATCTGTTACGATTACAAAACCGTGGTTATCGAATTCTCGGAGAACAACGTTTCTGGCAGATACCTTACAATCTCTGGAATAAAAATTTTTCATTGAAAATATACAACGTACTCGAGACCGTGATCTATGAAAATATCCTGTGTGTAATACAAAATTAATGCATTAATGGATACAGGATTTTCATTCATTTAGAAGAAATTTTGAACTGCGAAATATGAAGTAACTAAAAAGTCCAATAATGTTTATATTTTATATTTAAAGTAATTTTTTATTGAGATTGTATTTCTTGTGTTATATCCTGAAAGATATAAATTTGCATAAAAATCTATCTACGAAAAAATATCTCGAAAGTTTCTCTACAGTAAATGATCAATACTAACTTTGAAGTAGTAGCCAAGCAACAGGCGTCCGGAGCCCTCGGATTGAATCTTCGTGCCTCATCGTGCCAAATCCTGAACAACTCCACCGGATGATCAACTACCTCTTCGATTTTCGCCAGGTCCGATAGACCTGATCCTTCTTTCGATGCCTTGATAAACGATTTTCGCAACCGATAATTAAATCGATTTAAAATTTAAAACACGAAAGGGACGAATTACATGAAATAAATCCGATGTAAAACATACATATTCATACATGTAATCGCGATATAAAAATTGCTTGAAATTGGCACAGTTAATCTGTCATGCGATATAATTTCTGTTATGATATTCTTTCATTGCATATTTTTCTATAGCAAAAATAAGTGTCAAATTGTAACGTGACACGTATTTGTTTGAAATTGTAACGTGACACCATCTTTCAAGATCTTAAGGAGAGAATCTTATTATACAGTTACGTAATGTTGTTCAATAGTTATTAAGAAGAAAACATATTGGCAGAATCGTTTTATATACAATCATAATTTCTTCTTACCATGTTTCTGATGATACCAAGCTGATTGATTTCGATTAGTCTGTATGTGGTCGCGTGTCGTAACAACATACTCGCTGAACCAACGACTATTGTACGAGTGGGCAGCATTTATTCAGTGACTCTATTTGAAACCTTCCACTACCCCTACCTTGGCTCTACGCGCAAGTTCTCTTGCGATACTACTACGAGAGATAGATATATAGGATGGTCCAATGAGAATTGACATCTTCAATACCTCCGTCGTTTCTGGAGATATGAAGGTTAATGAAAATTATTAATGAAAATTAGTTAATGAAAATTATTCGGTACAAAGGGAATCATAATATATTAATGATGATTGTTTTGTATAGGTGGAGGAATTTCGGAAATTTCACTATCACTTCTTTTTGTTTATTTTCGTTAACAACGTTTTTTTTTTTTTTCACAGCTCCAAAAACAACAGGGAGATTCTTGTGCTGCTGAATGTTTGTTGGACCGCCCTGTAGAAATCTTACATACCAACCACGCGTACATTCACTATCATGGATACACGACAAATCTAAGCTTCAACCGCCTTATATAATCGCGATCGAAAACCACGAATGAAATCTACCTGAGAGGAGGAATTTTTCCGTATTATTTATTTTTTCGACTACTTACTATTTTAATTGAAACAGTTTTCTTTACAACGACGTAACATATAGACATTAATGCGAATAACGGATGAAAGATAATTATTGGCGAAACTATACAGTAGACACGAGATATGTATATGTTATCCAACGATAACAGAATATACGTTTTAACGCGTTAATTTACAATACATATTTTACAATCTGTTAGGATACGATAGGAAAATTTGATGAGATAATTCTACGCCACGTGTGTGTACGCTTACGCTCAAAAGTTTGGAGCTTTTCAAATAAAGTAATTTTTACACTTTTATTATTTTAAATATAATCAATCCTCTATAACATAAACTTGAGAATTTATTATTAATAAATTTCCAATAAATTACTAATTCCTATATTTTAAAGCTACAATCTTATCGTTTTCTCCCATGAGAATAAATGAATCATTATATAATTATATTGAATTATATAATATGTTCCTAAAATAATTAATAAATATATTATTATAATTAAATTTGGATTATAGAATGTTAAAATTTCAATACCTCGAAATAATAATATCATAAATAAAGTATTCATCTATTTAAAGAAACTTCAACGTGCTCCAAAGTTTCGAGCGAGGGTGTATATCGTAATATCAATTATCAGTTCCTGTCAGTTCATACTGATTTGTTAAATAATATCTTTGATAAGTATCTATTCGATCGTAGATTTTACCCAAGCAATATTCGAAGAAATTTTATCGTATAATCGTGGCCTTTCAACACCAGCTTTCGAACAAGCTATTCGCCAACTACCAACGCCTGTTAACGCCCATCTACGATCATCTGGCTGAAGACATAACATAGGACTTCCTGCAACTTCTTCCTCCTGTGGATAGTAAACAGTAATTAGATATTTCCGACCGTGTATATTCACGAATAAACCATTGTCGTGCGAGAGACAAAGAATAAATGAGTATATACGTATATGTAATCTTTTATGCTGCTGTTGCTATAATTCACTTACGTTGCAATCGTCAGTAGAATAAGCCGGTTCCGTGCAAACACTATTTACTGATGCAATACTGATATTCTCGCATCGTTCCATCGCGCTATGCCTAAGCTGCAACCTCTGCAGTAAATCACCTAATCAAGGAAAATTGTTCTTTTAAATGTTTACATTAATTGCAAGAAAATTTCTTCAAATTTTACTTCGTAATCTTTCTTGTAATTACAATATGAATTATATAGAATTCAACAATTTGATAGAATTCAACAATTATATAGAATTCAACAATTAATCAATATCTTTTAGAGCGTTTGCTTAAATATGTTACAGATTATTTATAATATTATTCATAAAACTTCTATAATTTACACCGTTTGTAGATTTTAATAAGTAAATTAATTAACTAACAAATAATACAGTTATTAATCAACAAATAAACAATAAACAACAAAGAAATAAACTAATAAATAATAAATTTTTTATAAATAAGCATATTCATTCTGCATTCGCCTACTTAACACTTTATTTATGAGAAATTCAATCTCGAGTATACCTATCGGTTTGGTTATATAATAGTACAACATCATCAATTATACATCAAACAATTTTTTTGTGATATCGTGACAATATATCAGTATATACTGTGGATACCTATGCAAATTCATACTTTTATAAATAAAATTAAAAAGATAGAAGAGATCTTGATAGAAAATTGTTTCTCCAGCTAAATATTATACATTATGCATATTATGTGTATTTTGTAGATTTTTAATAAATATACAAAAGTATTATCTACATGTCACTGCCACATGAAGGTACATATTCATAAGATATCACTGCCTATCTAAAAATATTATACAGATCAGAATATATACTCTGGATATTTTATGCATTTCTGCATATTATAATTTTGCATTTTATGGATTTTTATATCTTATGTCAACTTTTCATAAATGTACAAAAACCCACTATCTATTTTTCAATACCATAACATACATATTTAGGAAGTATAAGTATCTATCCATACATGATACTTCCAGTTAAAATAAATCGAATCGAGGTCTTGTCAATGATATGCAAGTCGTTTCACTTTTGCCGTTTCACTCTTTCTAAAGACGATACGATGAACGGCGTAAATAAACCGTACGTGCTCTTGCAATTACGCATTTTTATATATAACCCGTCGAAGAAATGGTTGCGAACAATTGTGATGTTAAATGTAAAAATCGTAAGCAAATAAATATTCGTCAGTGAATACTCACGATTTCTGGCCCATCCAAGAGTGTTGCAATGAGTCATATTCATCGGTGGATCTTGACTTGAAGGTAGACATACAGGTCTTACGAAATCAGAAAACGTGGTGACAGGTCGATCAAGCTTCAATAAAACAGTCGTGCTACCTTCTACTGGTGATTTAATCATACCCACAATTCTACGTTCCTGTTGCCACGGCGACGTGCTCGAGAGACGTACAGTACCCATTCTTGCAGACCATTCTGCCTTTGGCTGACTGTAATTGCGTTATTATATAAGGAGAAAATGTTGAATGCTACTTTAGAATATTGATTATCTAGATTAATCAGGATGCAGGTTGTTTTGATATGACTATGAATTATAAAGAATCTGATGAAGAACACATAAATCTAATAAAAAAATGTTGAATAAAAATGTAATAATTTCTTTAGTTTAAAATTTTTTTTACAAAGAATCATTTTCAACCCTCCTATTAATCCATTGAAGAACCAAACAATAATTTGTTACAATATCACAGATATTTCAATTCTTTAAGACCTTATAAAATTGTAGAATCTTGATGGAAAACACAGTGAGAACAAAAATATTATATTTTTTTAATTCTTTTCATATCCACAAAATTCGATGTAAATTAATGAAAAAAAATTGCAAATAAAGTTTTACATTAATCCATCGTTAGTCTTCAATCATTATTATTAAATTAATCATTCCTTTAATCAATATTCTAATAATCGTAATTAAAATTTTATTGTACCATTATGGAATGTGTACAGTAATATAGGGATAATAAAGCGTACCCTTGAAAACATGAGGCTGTTGTAATCAACCAATTTTCCGCCACGAGTGTTGCATCGCATACGTGCACTTCTTCCTTGAAGAGTGCCACATGCCAAGGCCAATCTCCTGGTTCTGCCATTTTATTAAGACCTCGGCTACCACTCTTTGCGTGTAAAGATTGTACGCCACACTCTAAACATAAATACATGATTTTTTTTTTAAATTAGCGTGAACCTAAGGAAAATGGAGCTCTCACGACGTACCGAGTTCAGAGCATTGGACGTACATAACTTCTTTGCTCGGGCAGGGTGCTCTAACAAACGTAATCTCTGTTGCCGATGGATCCTCCATATGTACATATTGAACGTCCTCTTCATCGTCGATTCTTACTTCCACGGATTTCACTCCTCTATGAAAAAATTGAATTAAATTTTTTAATATACGTATATATATATTTTATCTTATCTTACAGGTCATTCATAACTGTCTTGATCTCTAAACATTTATTATTCTCTCTTAATACTAACTGATTATAATGAAATATCAGAATGTATTAAACGTATTAAACACTGATTATTGATAATTATAAATGTAAAAATATTAATATCGTTTCAGTGAAGACGTAATCCCAATATCAAAGGGATGTTTCATAGAAATTTCATTTACGGTTTTTTCAACCTTTCTGATTGTGAGATTGAGTTACAAAAGTATATAATAAATTTTTTTTAAAAAATGAATACAGAACATTAGTTTATGAAAATTGGCAATGGACTGACTTACGCCACATGATTTTCATTGGTCTAAATAAATGATAATACATGATAATAATATATGATTAAAATGCATAATTTCTTTTAAATATTAAATTAAAGCAGACATCTTTTGTGTCTGTTGCAGAAGACGTTGCACAGTGTACTCACGTGTAAGTTAACAGACTGCACAAGGAGCTGGCAGCAGTTTGAAGAACGGTTTCCATTTCCGTTCCTGGCAGTGTCGCGTTCAGATTTGCGGTGCAAAGTTTCCCGATAGTGCCTTTCTCGTTAAACACCACAAATCCTTCGTTGTTATATTTCGCGGCGAACGGTGTATCCGAAGGTTGTGATTTCACAGATCGAATACTCGGCGCTAAAGATACTGTAGGACATGTATGATGTCAAGAACGAAAACGATGCATGACGATACAAAATAACTGTTAGAAACGCTATTGTAAGATCGTAGATCAAAATGTTAGTAGATTTTATCCATTGGTAACTGTAGCTGTATCTATTTTTCAACCCTTAAATATTATAGACACTGAGTCTTACACGACATTACATTGGAAGATTTCGTAGATTGTAATATTTATTTCTAGACAGCAGATTCTCAAGCAATTTTATATTTTTATGAACACAATTAATGAAGCCCAAGCAAAAGTTTGATATTTCATATATTCTTCTATTAAAAAATTAATTGAGGAAATGGATTTTTTAATTAAAAGATTAATTCACGAAGACACAGAGAGGAGAATTTGGAGTTCTAAATTATGTTTAAAATTCAGTTTAGCTTCAATTTTTGACTGATTCCACAACCTTGCTATCACCAATCATACGTACAACAATCTTTCTCGTCACTGCCGTTGGCGCAGTCCAATTTTCCATCGCATCTCTTGCCACGTGGAATACAAGTTCTGCCTACACCGCAATGCATGTAACCGTCGCGACAATAAGCGCAATTCTTCTCGTCGGAAAGGTCAGGGCAGTCGATCACGCCGTCGCAAATTCTCGGTGACAATGCTTTCGCTTGAAGCGCTTGCACGCATCCTACGACAATGATTGTTCAATAATTGCAACGATCCGGTGATAGTTTCCGCGTTGTTTCGCAAGCAAAAAGTTACGTTCGTTCACCTGGCTTTGCTCTGCAACCACCTTGGTCCACATATTCTGGGAAATTCGAGCAATCCAGCAGGCGTTTAATCTTGTCCGGAAGTCGGCTACCGCATCCGTTCCAGAATTCTCTGCAGAAGCTCCTGCACGGTAGCTGAAGCAGGTCTTCCGGCTGATTGGATATACACGCTGGTTGCAATACTTGGCACACAAAGTCGTACGCCAATCGGTAACATTCCGCGTCGACTAGCTCCCTGCAACGAAAAACGATTGTTAATAACAATTGAAAAATCGTGGTTTTGAATGTAAATTAAAAATACAGTGCATGTATGTGCACATGTTCAGAATAAAAATTGAATATATTAATATATTTGTACTCCGTATATATTTTCATACTCACTAAAAACTACACGAGTCAAAGCGTAGACAATATTATGAATATGTTATTTTCATAGAAACAAATACAAGCGTGCAAATCGTGGTTGATATTTACCTGAAAGCGATCACATCCTCCTCCACGTCAGCCAACGAACGATGTCCTAATATATTCGGATACGATGTGACATTGTATGGAAGATGTTTGCAGTAAGATAAATCCAAACTGGTGCACCTTCTCGGAGGCGGTGGTGTAGTAGTTGGTGGTGGTGTTGAAACTGTCGTCTGTTGACCGACTTGAGCGTTCAGAGCTTTCAAGCTCTCTTGAACCTCGAGACTTTGCGAGTCGATCGTTAAATTGTTCAAATACTGCGAGGTTGCAGGATCGATCTCTCGCGTGAGAATATCAACGACGTCCGCGGTGGTGATAGTCTGGTATCGTGGGTCGAATCGAATCTCGAAATGTACCGCCAAATTCTCATTTTCGGATCTGTGGAATTTATTTACGATAAGTAATTATCGGTTGTAACTTGAGAATTATATATCTACATATGTTATATTCACAATTTGGAAATTTTATCTTGCCTACTTATTGCTTCACTATTGTATTGCATTTCATTGGTAAAGTTCGGATTTTTATGTAAAGTTGAATAGAACTTAATTATTAAAAATTATAAGCGTGTTTTCTCTATTTTTCTGGGTATTTTTATATTTTTTAAATGTTGAATAAATGCATAAAAATCCGCAGTTTATTTATGAATAATATGTACATTTATTTGTGACTAAACGAAACCTTAGTTACAGAGGCTTAAAAGAGTATAACCTGAGGTCACGAGAAAGCCAGCTGAAGATAGCTGGGTTTCTCTTGCTTGCGGGAATCGGTAAAACTTCAAGAAAGATTGCTCGGCTTTCGACCACGTTTCACGCGGAGATTTCACGATGAAACTTTCGTTTCACTCTTCTGCTTTCATTCGTTTTTAATTGAAAACCACCACAGAGATGATCTAATGATAATCAATTTTATATAAAGATTAATTTATAATTGGGATATCTCCAAGTTACAAGATTTCCATTTTTTTTTATAGAGAAAGTAACTTTAAAATTCAATACCTAAATTGTAAATAAACTTCTATGCAAATGCTTGTTTGCAAAAAAAAACCTACACTTCACAGTAATTAATAATTAATAAGAGTAAAATCATTGTTACCCATCGAGCGCCAATATTTCCACAGCGAGGAAAGAGATTCTTAGCCAGCTGCGGCGAAAGATAAGATTAAGTCGATCGCGATACTCTCGTGATCGTATTCGAAAGGCTTCGGTAGAGGGATCTGCTAGTTCTGAAACGAAGGAGTCACCTTCGATCACTCGAAATGTCGCCAGGAATATCTGATCACCTGGGGGATCCGACGTTAAGAACGTGTCTGAAAATATACCGATTGAACGCTGTTAAATGATATTCCAAATGATACTGACTATTTAATGTTTCAAAAGGAAACGTGTAAAATGCTAAACGAATTTCGTATGATTATCTAATTTCTCAACAAGTATCAAATTTATTGCAATTATCTAATTCAATTAAGAATTAAACTTTGAAAAACTCGGTTATCGTTGACAGATGGCTGCGATGCATCATAAATTAAGGAAAAAAGGATTCTTGCGCGACTGATCGTCAAATTCATTCAAACTAACTATTACACTGCAAATTTATATATTTTTCGAAATATTATATCAAGAAATACAAATCTTTTTTTTATTATTATTTTTCCTACAAATGCATAAAACTCTGCAGTTTATTAATCATTAAACGTAGTTGTACACAAAGAATAAAAATATTACACTTTAATCTGTCTGTAATTTTGTAATTGAAATACATCTTGCCAATAATGAACAAATGTAAAGATACTCCAACATTGTGTGCAATTTTCACACCTTCGAAACTTTCCATAAACGCACCTGTAATCTACATTGAGATGAAACAGTAAACGTACGTATCAATAATAACCGTGAATTAATTAATTCGAGTTCACGAAGCTGTTCTCAAGCTGTAGAATGAAAAAACGACTGTTATCCGCAACGTCGACGAGCGTCGTATCAATTTAATTTACTGTAATTGGCAGTTTCCCAACGGATTTCACTGTAGGATAATCGAACGATTTCCATCTTACGGCCATCTGCAGTTTGCTAAGTGATACTTTCTAATTCTCCTTCCTAAAACATCTCGTTCGAGAGAACAACAGCGGTAGCAACAACGGCTGTGCAGTTACAGTGTTACCCGTATTATTTTTTATTCAAATTGCTATTTGAATTTTTCCGAGATACAAGTTCACATTCGACGGACCGATACCGTAAACACAAACTAAAGTATCGAGGGCAATCGGGCACCTACGGCAAGACCGCTCCGAGGCTGCTCACCTTTCACCGTGCCTTCGGTCGATTATTTTCACACCGCAAAGATTATTTTTTCGATCCGTGATCCAATTTCTTGCGGGCGGGGATCTTCTGTGGCTCGTTCGCGGCATCAATATCAGCAGTATAAAGCTCGTTTTTCTTTTATTTCAGAAGCAACTTTCCAGTACGGCACAGCGACTCGTGAAAGTATTAGGGGGAAAGAAAATTTTGAATGTGTAGAAAAGTTAAATAAAAAATTGCATCACTTGGAGATTGCAGTTGCATCGAATATGACTATCACATATGTCTTTTAGACTGTTGAAATCACACAATTTATACTATAATATCAGTCGTTTAAATTTTAAAAGTGAAAGAATGACACGAGAATGTAAAAATGATTGTGAAAAAAAATCACACGATATTTACTGAAAATTAGTATATAATACATACAATTATCTTAAACATGTAATTAGTATCAAAAACTCGGATCACATTACAGTATCAATGAAATTTCAAAACGTTTCATATATAACAGACAATAATAAAAATATATACGTAATGAATGTTCGCCTAGGTGATTCCACGAATCACCGTACGAATTTGACAGCCCGATTCCTCGAACGCGAAATACTTTCGAAAGGAGAATTCGGTTAGTATGATGAGGCATCGAAATGATCCAAGGACACGGATCCCCCCTCTGAGGTCGAATGTTGGAGGGGTGACAGGCTCAGACGGCCCGACAACTCGGTCAGACCGTTAGCTTTACTACTTTCAAGGCCTCTTTGCTGGACCTCAACGCGATCGTGCATCTTCTTCGACCTTTGCCTCTCTTTGCCGGCGTCTGCCATGAATTACAGAACGCAGGCCTTTGCGCTTCGTCACGGCGGTATTCGCTTTCTTTTCTCGTAAATCGGCTCTCGTCCCGGGGATCCTTTTAGCTTTATCGAGAGGATCGTTCAGGTCGTTCGCGGGCAAAACATCCGATCTGTACACGTAGACGTATTTTCTCGGTAACTCGGCCGGACCGTTATGTTTGCACGCTGAAAGACCTGAATGGGCTCTGGCCGCATCATCCTCCTTCGTCCTCTTTTTGTTCGGTTTTCTTTGGCTGCCGAAGAATACGCACGGTTCCTCGACAAGAGCCAAGTACCACCTGTTTGTAAGTTTAGAACATCTGCTTCGGATCTGTACGAAACACAATGGTAGATTGAAACTATTCGGGAAGCGGTTGATCGACTGTTTCGATCTGTGCAGAATTTAAATTTTTAATATCTTGTGTGTCAATGGTATTTTAGAAAATAATTTTATATCTTTATTGTTATTTTATGTCACTCGTATACGTATTATATTATTTTATGTTATATATTTTTCATTGAGAATTCATTGACATCATATCTGATTTCAGTTCAATATTGTGCTTAATATTGTTATTTATATCATGTATTGTATTTTTATTAAATATATATTTGCAATAGATGTCTTGTAATTTCTACATACGTATTCAGATTGCTCTTAATCGTGTCTCATTATTATATCGCAGATTTTTATCCAAAATTTATAGACACAGTCAATGGAATTTAATTTCTTTAATAAAGGATTAAGAATTTTATTCTTGTATATTGTACGTATTCTGTACACTTTTTCTTATATGGATTTTATTCCACTTATTGCAATGTTAATAAAATTTCAATAAAAATTTTCCACAAATGCTGAAATACTTCTCCGAGTCAATATACATGAATTCCTGTACCAAAGGAACTTTTCAATCTGCTGAGCATTGTATGAATTGGGCGATTAGAATCCACCTATCATGTACAAACTACTTTAAATCCACTTGTTCTTTTTCAACTACTTAACGTTCACCGTTATCTAAACGTATGAATATTAACAGCATATAAATCTGCATCAATTAGCGGAAGGTTCTCCTCTTCGTTCGTACAATCGAACGCGACTTCAAGGTGAAGTACACGTGTCCATAAAGCGGAACGTACGTACATTCGCAAACGAGGGAAGACGATCACACTTTACGCTTCACGAAATATTCATCGTACCATGAAGGATTCGTCCGCTTTGTAAAACAAGCGTCATGCATTTCGCAGCAATTTCACGTCCACCAGAGCGTTGGTTAACCGTGGAGTAATTTCATTTACAGCATCAGTCGAATCGAGCATAAGTTCGCGGAGAAAGCGCACGAACAAAACCTCCTGCGCGTTTCGAATTCCTTGGCTGAGCGGTCTTCATGCTCGACAGACTAGCAATTATTAAACCTTCCGAGTCGTCACTTTTAGAAGACACAGCATAAATTGCCAGAACGGACGATATAACTTCAAAAGGCATTGTCAAACACACGATAGTGTCCAATAAGATATTATATTGTAAAAAGGCATTTCTATTAGATCGAAGTTAAATTAATATTCAAATTTATATTTTTAGTAACTTCCATTAGTTTGGAACATTAGAAGGATGAGATGAAATGTTAGGATTTCTTGAAATTTTATCATTTAACCCTAGTATTCAATAAAATGGCGGAAAGAAAATCGTATAACAAGTTTTAAGAGGTTGTTACAAAGGAGAGATTTTAATCTTCAAAATGATTATGGCTCTTACAAAGAAAACCCTTTAAAACCAATTGAATCTTTACGTGATCTTTTTTTGCTGACTTATATCAGTTTATATTATCGACACTTTCACAATCACTGATACAGTTATGCTCTTCACTGTAATAAATATAATGCTATTATATTTTTATTATATGTTCGATCTCTGGCTATCGATTATGATTCGTAGGAAATTTCTTCTTTTTCAATCTCATTCGCGATAGAACGGAATTTCAGATGCAGTGTTAATACTTTCTATTATGAGAGTATCTCACAATACGACTGCCGTTCTATCCCACGTAACGGTAAATAATCCGAAACTCGGGTGTTATACTTACAGCCAAGGTATATGGAGATTCCAGAGAAGAGGAGGAAAAGCAAAAACGCTGCTAACACGCAGCATCCGCAACGATATTGTCCACCGAGCTTCCTCGTAAATCGAATGTCGCTGTCCGATGACAGGATCGAACTTGGAGTTCCCGCGCGGCTGAATCTTCTGGTGCTTACCGTGCTGACCGATATCTGGAAAAGAAACATTCGTGATTCGTTAGTATGGCTCGAAAGAAGAAGACGGAAAATAGATTAATCCTTTCTGCATTTGGGAAAAA